CTAAAAATATTTGCACTTATTTAAGACTCACCCTGTATAGACTTTACTCACCCTTAGCAGTAATTTTTAAAATGCAAATTTTTTTAACTTATTTAACCAATTTTATAGTATAAAATTGATTATGTTTTTTTGAATGTTTATTACGAGTATAATTATTTATTTGTTTTTCGCCTCTCTTGTAAAATTGCATCTTATGCAGTTGCGTCGTTGTCCTTCCAAAATGGCGATATAAAATATATAGTTTCTCTATACGGTGTTAGTCAGAAATAAGTGCAAATATTTTCAGGAATGGCAGATCTCGATAAAGGAAACAATTTTTTTCTTTACCGTTTTTTAAATAAGTCCAAAATAACCGAGCTATTTTATTTTGAAAATTAAAAAAAAAAGTTTTTGCTTAAATTTTGAGAACCACTGGATCTTCTCTGGATTTTCTTTCTTGTAAATTTAATCTACAACATAATATATTGCCCTATTATGAACACATGATTAAAAAAAAATCGAAAAATTGAAAATTTTAAATTTTTTGTTTCGTGAAATAACTTCGTCGACGTGTTTCTGGGGTCGAATTACACTACCCATAAAAATATTTGCACTTATTTAAGACACACCCTGTATAAAGATAACTGACAGAAATTAATTTTATTTCGACGAAACTTATACCAAAAACAAGATTTCATTTGATATCTGCATATCAAATTAAAGCAAATTACTTTTTATTGTCAATTGAACAAAAAAATACCCTTTGATCGAAAAATAAAACAGCGTCAAAGACTACTAGGGAATGACCATCGATGGTAATTTTGACGACGTCAATCTCTAGACGACATTTACTAAAAAATTATATAAAACTTGTCGAAAATTTACGTTGGAACGTTTCCAGACATACCAACCTATTTCTAAAAAAAATATTTTTTCTCGAAAATTTTAAACTACACCATTCAAAAATCATTTTTACTTAATATTAAAATAAATTACACCTTTCTTCAGACTGTAAGCGCCGTTAAGAAATAAAGAACAATACGGGCCAAGTAAATGACGTCTATAGGGATTGACCTCGCCAAAATTACTATCGCTTGTCATTCCTCAGCCGCCTTTGACACCGTTTTTTTCGATCGTATGATATAAATTAGCATTTTTAAGAGGTAGCATACAAAATTTCTAACGATATATATTTTGTACATAATAAACGGTACAATGTACCTGTGGTTAAATATTAAGTAACAACAGCCCTAACAAACTAAATTTAATGCTAGAAATAATTTAATTATTAAATATTATATAGGGATTATTAATTACATCTCCCATATTGATACCCCTTATCTATATAAAAAGAAATTAATTTCTGTATTTTAAAATTATTAAAAGAAACAATATAATAAATGGAGGCTCCAGGGGAAAAACTTGATAAGCGCCAATTTCTTAATTTTAGGATTTTACAAACAGTATTATGGTAGGTCTAACTGGTCTCTACAAAATGTATAAACTGTGCAGGGCAATAAGTTGTTAAATCCTATGATATATGCCTAGTAAAAATAGGGTTGTTCACCACATACGACACGGAGTATTGTAGCTAAACGATTAGATTTGTACAAATTGTAAGTTTTGGGTTCGTGGAAGGACTATTAGAGCTACAATTTAAAAATATTTTTACAAGATACACAGTGTCCCAAATAAGTATAAAATATTATAGTTGTATTTTTTTCAATGGAACACCCTGTATATTATTCCATTTTTAGATTCTACGATTGAAATAAAGATAAATTTGATTAAGGTTTGTCACACTTAAAGCTTACCGTTTTTGAAATACTTTCAATTTTGTGAAATTGCAGTAAAAATTTTAAAATTTCATTTCTCTAAAGGTATCAAAGTTTTTAATACTAAATATTTACTGAAGATTTTTTATGGACCAGATATTGTGTTCCAATAATAAAAATTATACTACCTTATACAGAGTGTCCAAAAATGTATATTAAATAATTACTAGGTTTAAACATCAATAACTTGTTTAATTTAAATGGAACACCCTGAATATTTTACGCGAATCAGGTGTACAATTTAATTGTCTATCAAATTGTATTATACCATTTTTTACCTATCTCTTCAAGTTTTCGTAGAAAATGCATTTTCTTATAATTTAGACCTCATTTATCACTATACCCATGGAATATTGACTATTAAATTTTTTTAAAGCAACATATGTACAAAATGTACAGGTGGTAAAAATAATAATATCGCAAGCTTATTTGTTTACAAACAGAAAATTATTTAAATCTTTGTAAAAGACTATACCAATTAAATATACCACCATTATTTCCGCCCAAAAATTAGTTAATTGCATACTTAATTTCATCGTTTTAATTATTATTCTAAATAAATGTGGATTTGACTCAGAAATCAATATAATAATAAGTTATGAAAATGAACGTCTCTGTTATAAATAAGCATTCTTTAAAAAATGAAATAACATTTTTATAAGGTGTTACTTTTTACCACACTGTCTAATACACATACAAAATTCAATTTTTTAGTATTTGAGCAATTATTATTATTAATCAACGTAAACAGTCAATTAATGTAGTTTGAATACTGGGATCATATTAATTGGTCCTCTTTAATTTTAATATTTAAACAGTCCTTTATTTTTTAATAATATAAGCAAACTATAATTAGACAATATTAGTATCTGTACTCTTTGAAAATTTGTTACATATTTAAAAATAATCTAATAATATCAATATTCCATGGGTATAGTGATAAATAAGGTCTAAATTATAAGAAAATGCATTTTCTACGAAAACTTGAAGAGATAGGTAAAAAATGGTATAACACAATTTGATAGATAATTAAATTGTGCATCTGATTCACGTAAAATATACAGGATGTTTCATTTAGATTAAACAAGTTATTACCGTTTAAAGCTAGTAATTATTTAATATGAATTTTTGGACACTCTGTATAAGGTAGTATAATTTTTATTATTGAAACACCCACCATATCTGATCAATAAATAGTCTTCAGTAAATATTTGGTATTATAAACTTTGATAGCTTTGGAGAAATGAAGTCTTAATTTTTTTAATGCAATTTCACAAAATTGAAAATATTTCAAAAACGGTAAGGTTTAAGTGTGATAAACCTTAATCAAATTTACCTTTATTTCAATCGTAGAATCTAAAAATGGCATAATATACAGGGTGTTCCATTTAAAAAAATGCAACTATAATATTTTTTACTTATTTGGGACATTCTGTATCTTGTAAAAATAGTTTTAAGTTGTAGCTCTAATAGTCCTTCAACGAACCCAAAACTTACAATTTGTAAAAATCTAATCGTTTAGCCACAATACTCCGTGTCGTATGTGGTAAACAACCCTGTAGAATACACGGCAAGAACCTGATAACTACCAGCCGTCCAGTGCTCTCTTGTAAAATAGTGAAATGGCGCTTATCATGTTTTTCCCCTTCTCTCCTTCAAATGGTGTGTTAAATAATCCTTAGAACAACTGCTAATTTAAACAAAAATGGCAATTGAAGTCATCAAATTTTTCGAATTGCGACATATTTAAGGTTCTACTTAAGTATATATTTTTAATTACAATAACAAATAATTTAAAAAAAGTGTCTTTTACTAATTTATGCCTAAACACAGTTTTTTTTAACTGCCGAATTTTTATTTTTTAAGTTTACATAAGACGGATTTTAACTGTTGAATCCTTATATTATTTGGTACTTTCCAAACTCAGTTGTTTGCTGTTGCCGTTTCTCGACTTAATAATGAAATTTAAACGTAAACGATATGATATTTGTACGAAATGTTCAATGAACGCGAAAACTTAACCTATTCATAATAAAGTAATAATATAACAGGTATGACTTTGGAAAATACATAAATCACATTTTTTCAATATCTTATACATTCAATTTTCACAGTCCATGGGATATTTTAAAGTTCACTTCAATATTCATTTTGAAAATATATGTTCTCAATGTTTTTAACAATATGTATAATATATATAGTAGTAAATACAATTAAGAACAGACAGTATTTACCGACCGCTCTTTGAGATACAAGTGTAAATTTATTTAAATTTAGATCAGTTTCTTGACTTTTGTTACAGACAGCATAAAAATTAAACAATTAACTGAAGCAAATGAATGTTTTTAACACTTAATGCTTTATAGACGTATTAGTATAGACAGAAAAACATTTTTGATCAAAATATTTCTAATTCTACATTACATTTTCTTGTATATAAATCAAAAATTATCGTTCTGTCTACAACATTGTTTTTTATTTGAAATATGAAAATTATTTTAACATATAATTATTTTGTAGGTGTACTTTTTAATTCTGAAGGTACTGTAAATTAATTCTGAAAGTTAAAAATACCATATTATATTTTTTTTACACACTGTACACATTGAACAGATTAATAAAATATACAGATAATATAATATCGTTGATTGAAAGAATTGAGAAGATATGTAACCTAATTGCTCTTTAGGTTTTTTTTGTTATTGAGAAAAAAAAAACCTAAAGAGCAAATTCGTGATAAGGTGGATTTGATTTCCCCTTACGTCTCAAGGGCTTTACGGTGGAGCCTCAATTCGTTCTGCGACCAACACATAAAACACTCATTTTCTCTAGTTCGGCTAGCGAAGGCACATCGAAGACGGCGTGGAACTGAAACCGACAGTGTTGCCATACTAAAATGTGTAATATCTGTAATAAGTTTGACGAAAATATCTTTGGATGAAAAATCCGCATTTATGTATTGAAAATTTATTCGTGTTAGTTAGTAACATAGAATAAACAACAAAAATAAAAATTCTTTTATAGGTACTGAATATTTCGTATGATAGAAAAAGTAGTTTAGTTGGCTTGGAAATGACGACTATTGACATTTACCGTAATATTTTACAAATATGAAATAACAGCGATCTGACGCCGCTCTTTGTTTAATCATATAATATAATATTAAATTGTTTATGATAGAAAATTATTATTTATTAACGTACTCCGTAACGTAAAATCCGTAAATGTAGGGATTAATCCGTAGTTCTGGCAACACTGTCTCCGACAACCAACCACTCTGTCGACTGAAAGTAAAACTACGGTACAGTATTCTTTATCCGCTGCATTGTAAACGCACTATCAGCGCTCAGCGGCGCAATCGCCAGCGTTGACGGTATCGCCAGCTATATCTCGGATATGTTTTGTGCCACGAAATCGCCCATACATAAGGTTGCGCATAATCTTATTTCTTCAATCAACGATAATATTTAGTCTGTCCAACCAAGTCTGTATATTTTTGTAGGAAGTGTATTTAATAGGTAGGTACCGGAGATTTTGATATTTAATTTTTTTATTAAATAATTTAATAAGTATCTGTTTTAAATTTTGTATAAAGATTAAGGTTACCTATTAAATACGCCAGTCATAGGGATGCGTAGGGCTTGAATTCTTGTCCCTAGCCTAACTGATGGTACGTCCATGGTTATAATAAAAAAAATACAAAGACACAGTTTAACTCATGCTTTCAATTAAATGGTTTGTTGGTGACTGCGGTTAATTTGATAACCTATAAAAATCTTTTTCGTATATGAATAACTTACTTTTTTTTTTGGTAACATAGTTATTATAATCAGTATGTGTATATATACGATGGACAATTTTTGCAGCATGTCTCTTAACTTAATACTTTGGCGAGGAGTAAAATCGCGGTATTTAGTGCAGTTTTCTGTAGCTTCCTACTAACTACAATCGCTATTTTTTTGGTTTCTTTGTAGGGCTACCGAGAGGCGATTCCTGAAATGAATATACAATATTAATATTAGTTTTTTAATTTAATTAATTAACTGTCAGTGTTGTTCGTCTGTCAGAGTTTTTAATCACAAAACATCCCTCTTTAGAATTTTTTCTTTAATGGCCTATGGTACCACCCATAGTAGGTTAGTCTTTTAGGAGTAAAAGACTAACCGCCCGAACAAACACTAGAGGCGCCACTGTTCATCAAATGGTGAAAAAATTGAGAAAATTTAATCATCTAATTTTGACACAAGGTATCGCGCTTAACTTTTTTAATTTTAATTCAATTTTCATTGTTTTCAAACTATATTATTAGACTTTGTTGTATTTTGTGAATGTATAAATATTTTCTTAATATAAAGTTGTATTATATTAATTTAAATTATATTACATACATATTTAAAATTAAAATATTATGATATATATGCCAGTTGCCGTCTAAAATGTAATCTTGATAATAAAAAGTTAGCTATTGTCAGAAATAGTTAAAATCATGTTAAAATATCAAAATTCACAAGATATTTCATATTATTTCAAAAACAAAAACATAATGGTACAGCGTAATGTTGATACGCAAAACAAAAAGTGCTGTTATATTTTTCAGTTTTCGTTGTCAGCTGCGGAAGCTTCAGTGATTTTAGTGTTTTCGGGTATTTTTATTTGTGAAATAGAAATATTACGTTTGGATTGCAAAACTAAAAGTGGAAGTTTTATTGAAATGTAAGTAAGCGTTTGTCCATTTTATATTTTACTCTTTTCATACCTACGACAAATATACCTACATATATTGAAATTTTATAATTCCTTTTATTTAGAAAACAAGCCTGTAATCCTATAATTGACATAATTATTATGTAATATATTCCATTTAAATGTAATATATTACTTTACAATTAAAAAAATGTAAATTTAAAATATATATTAAAAATATATACAGGCATTAATTGAAGTTTTTAGTGTGCGAACAAGCACGAGAGGCGCTTTATTATTTACTTTCATTTCTTAACATGACAGATGAAGTTCTAAAGGGGGATGTTTTGTGTTTTTACTTTAAATAGTTAATAGACATATGTAGCGAACATGTTTAAGGTTTAATCGGCTATGGAGTAGGTATACTTACCAAATCTAATTCATCTAGAGATTCTAATTTAGCTATAGGAGCGATTTTTTCCTCCATGGTATCTTTTTCTTTAGTAATAAGACATTCTACCCAGGAGGGGTCTTGGAATTTGTCAAAGTCGAAAGCTTTGTTAAAGGAGGCAAATCTGTAACGGTAGTTTGTATTAAACGCACTATAATTTAATTAGTTTATATAGTAAAAGGTGTTTATATAACTGATTTGTTAAGTGATAATTTCTTCTAGAGATGAAACAAAAACCTTTTTAATTACTCTAAAAGATAAAGCGTACATACCTGTGTAATACTTGGGAATGATGACTTCTTGAAATAGGTTTAGGTTCACTCACAGAACGTTGGAAAGTTGTTCTGCTGCGACTAGATGATGACTGTTCTAATACTAAATTTTCATATTCTGGTACCTAAAATTAAGATAGTTTTGAATCAGTCAAATAAGTTTTAGAAACAATGAGTAAAAAGTAGTTTCAGAATAACAGGTAGGTAATTTTTTATTATTTCTGTTTTCTACAAAGTAGTAGATTATTATTATTATTTCTACAAAGTAGTAGTATTATTAGTAGTAGACATTTCAAATCGCACATCTCTTTTCATAATCGTTTCCTCATTATACAAAGCTTGTTATAAGGAGCGAACACTCCAATAACTGGACCAGAACCGTTCTGCTTCCCAAGTGGAAACCAACTTAAAGCGGAACTCAAGAACCTGAAAGACTCCATCCGTAACCTGGAATGCGAGTCCTTCAACGGCCTAAGACACTCGAATAAATTTCTCAGAATTTACGACCGAGATAAATCGGAGATTTTCCTTGACTTAAGTAAGAACCACCTTCGGATTGTCACGGGTTTTATAGGACACTGTCTCCTTAATGAACAGCTCAGTCGATTGAAGCTAAGAAACAACAGCGAATGAAGATACTATTCTCTCAATGCTGCGAATTTCATACACAGAACATCGGACCAACGCGCAACGTATCAATTCTAAGGCAGTTAAAAGTTAACACAAGACTTTCAACCAAAGTAAACTAGTCATACCTTAGGTACTTCGGGCACATTTTGAGAAGAACAGATGGACTGGAAAAAATCATAATCGAAGAGAAGATTAATGGCAAACGACCAAGAGGAAGGTCTTCGACGCGCTGGGTGGACCAAACTAAAGAAATTATTGTTCACGGTCTGCAAGAGGCTTCTATAGCCGCTCAAGATAGAGAGGGTTGGAGAACAACGATGGAGACATGATGTCGAGAGTTAACGGACGAGGATAAGAAGTATATTTAATTTAAGGGACTAATTATTATATTCAATATCTTTAATTTACCTCTGATCCCTTTAATACTGTGACTTCGTCAATAGTCCAACCGGCCGATCCTTGCGAGAGTCCTTGTATTTGACTGGAACACTGTTGCCCTATCGTTGTCACTTGACTACCCTGCCTGTCTTGTAATAGCGCCAGTATCATTCTGACATCGTTGCCAAGCGAACTTTCTAACGTTTCCACTTTTCTACTTAACGATTCTAATTGGCCATGTAAAGCTTCTAGATGCGAACGGCTGACGTAAAGTATTTCACCATCTTTTTCGGAATGTTGGACTGCATTGGTGGCGGAATGCGAAGAGGGTTGCCCTCCTCCAGCGTCGACGGGAACTAAAATCTAAAAATATGATAAAATCATTATAGAAAATATGTACAAAATCACATTAACTTGACAAAAATGTAAATCAGTAAAGTGTCGTAACTACAGTTCAGAAGGGTACCAAAACTGTAGCTGTTAAAACAACACAAATAACTCCACAAGGTGGAGTAACCTCCCTCCTACTGTGGAGCTTGGTAGTGCATGAAAATAGACGAATTAATCCGAGCGGGAATATACTACATAATGTGAGATGACGTAGTCATGTCATCTGTATACCTTATCATGACTATGACCGCTCGGGAGAAACATGAATGGCACCCTGTATGATATCCAAAATGAACTCCGCATCACTGAGTAATGGTCAGGACGGTCGGGAACATCAACTCAGAAAAAATCGCGATAATGCCATTCACCAGAAAGCGAAGTCGGAAAAATTAGAATAGAATCCATCTAGATGAAAAAGAAATACTGCCAAAACGGGAAGTTAAATATCTGGAATATTATCCAAATAACCCTGGACAGTAAACTTCTATGGCATATTTCTAAACGGGCATATTAGGAACATTACCAGCAAAGCGTCAAAGGCTCTTATGATACGCAGAAGACCGGCGGGGAATAGATGAGGAACATTTTGCGGTCGATATATAGCATGATAGTAAGACCGATGATTACCTATGGAGCAGTTGGTACACAAAACTAGAGCAACGTACAGCAATGCAATCTGTTGTGTGATCTTAGGTAGGAACTAATCAGAAACAGGAAATCGCCATCTTATCCGCTAGTCAAGCAGCACTAAAAGCGATCAGATCAGTAACCATCAATTCGAAGTTGGTCAAAATATGCTTAGAGAAGCTGAACAAATTAGGCAAAGAAAATATAGTCCTCCTACTCTGGGTACCAGCTCACCAATGGATAGTAATGTGAAAGTAAATAATCTAGCTAGAAAAGGAGCGAACACTCCACTAACTGGAGAAGAACCGTTCTGCTTTCCAAGCGGAAACTACATTAAAGCAGAACTCAAGAACTTGGATTACGCCAACGTTCTCAAACACTCGAAGAAATTTCTCAGAACTTACGTCCGAGAAAAATCAAGGATTTTCCTTGATTTAAGTAAGAACAGTCTTCGGACTGTCAAAGTGTTTTTAACAGGACACTGTCTCCTCAACAAACACCTCAGTAGCTTGAAGCTAAGAAACAACGGCGAATGCAAATTCTATGGGGAAAATGGGAAAACACCAGAACACCTTATCAGTGAGTGCGCCAAGACGACAACCATTTATGTCATAAACTTTGGTACGACTGACACCGGAGAGGGAGAACTTGCGTCTGTGAATTTGTCTCAGATACTGGTCTTAAGAAAGGGTGACGCACAATAGATCTCTAAGGTCGCGGTGATTAACCCCCTTCCCAAACATTCCACATTTATAACCACAAAGCGATCTACAATTAAAATAGTTGGCTATTCTGGTTTTGCTCGTTTGGTTCTACTCTTTAACCAATTTACCTCATCTCCATGTGGCTGTTCTATCTGAGGTACGGGTGGACTGGGACTGTTTGTATAGTAACTGGTGCTACTAGACAAGGGTGCACTGGTGTGAGCGTGAGACGCGGCTGGGGGCGGGGCCGAGCTGTGCTGATGGGTGTCAACTGACGATTGCCGACGAATAGTACGGACGCGATGTGAGGACGGGGGCGTGGCTTGAGCTATAACAAAGAATATTCTATGATATTATTTTTTTATCATAATTTAATTATAACGTACTTGCTATTAGCAAATTGGCAACTATAGTAAGAGAAGCTATTCGCTTGTTTATCTCGATAAAAATTGTGATAAATCCAAGACAATAAGGTTTTAGAAGTTAACGAAAAAATAGAGCATCACATAAAAAAGGGCATATAATATTTCTTATTAATATAATATTTATTTACTGTTGTACTATCAAAATGCTTTTTTTATTAATAAAAATACCCTATAATAAAAAAACGGCGTCAAAGACGGCTGGGGAATGACGATCGATAATAATTTCGGCGAGGTCAATCTCTAGACGTCATTTACTCAAAATTGACATAAAACTTGTCTCACTAATTATAGCAAGATTAAAAAAGGATAGGACGTTTCCAGACACAAATCTATTTCCAAAAACTATTTTTTTTCTCGAATTTTAAATTACACTTTTTAAAAATCATTTTTACTCAATATAAAAATCTATTACAACTTTCTTATGGTCAGCTCGCAATAAGCACCATTAAAAAATAAAAAAGAGTAGGTGCCAAGTAAATAACGCCTAGAGTTGGCCCAGCTAAAATTATCTTCGATTGCCATTCCCCAGCCGCTTTTGACGCCGTTTTTTTTTCGATCGTATGGTATTTTAATTTATTATAAATTACAAGAATATATTAATACATTTATTCTTACAATACATTTAAGTTATAAGTTAATTCTGCACGATACTACTTTCAAGTAAGATATTTCTAAGATTCTCAAAGATATCCTAAGCGAATATATAACAAATATGAAAATAACCCTTAATTTTATTTTGTTTTTAAGCGAATAACTTTAGAAATTTTTTAGCATTCTGGTTACTATAAAAATATCTTAAGATATGATCTTAGCTATGTAATGGCTGTACATAAATTTTGAAGTCGACTAAATGTGTTATGTATCATAATTACTGTAACTATGATTCTCACTTTTTTTATTAATTTTATGATAAATATATTGTATTATACAGGGGGAGTCTTAAATAAGTGCAAATATTTTTAGGGCTAGTATATTTCAACCCCAGAAACACGATTACGATTTTTTTCCCGATATTATTTTTTTGAAAATTTGGAATTTTTTGTTTTTTTTTTATTTATAAACACAGTTTCTTGATAATATGGCAACAGATCGTAGATAAAATTTACAAGAAAGAAAATTCAGAAAAAATCCAGTGGTTCTCAAAATTTTAGTAAAAAATATTTTTTTTTGCAAATTTTCAAAGTAAAATAACTCGATTATTTTGGATTTATCTAAAAACCGGTAAAAGAGAAAATATGTTTCTCTTATAGAGATCTACTAGCCCTGAAAATATTTGCACTTATTTAAGACTCACCCTGTATAAGTATAACTCATTTTTATAATAATCTTTCTAATGGTTATTTTAGAAAATGTAATAAGTAATAATTTACTTGAGTTTATTTATGTAAACCACTTATTTTTAAAAAGTATTTATTCATGCTTTGCATTTAATACCATGCTAGTATCAACAGTATAATAAAAAAAATATCTAAAAATTAATACTAACATTTTCATAAAATTTGTGGTCTATATTAATACTAACAAAAAAATACGACTTGGATATCTAATATCTAATAATTATTTAATGTATACATACAGTTTGTAGAAGGTAAAAATCCAACCACTAGTCAGTTGATACTTTTTACTAAGAGAGTTTTTACTATACAGGGTGGCCCATCGAAAACGTTCCGCAAGGCATAACGGCCAGAGTAATTTTTTTTTCAGAAAATTCAAAAACACGTCAATGTTTGTGAGGGGGACAACTTTTGCCCCAAAAAAGATTACAAAATCTTCAACCCTCTAAGCGGGGGTGTCATCCCCCAACTTTTTTCAAATGGGAAGGGGGGTCAAGTGGCGCCGCAATGAAAAGAGCTTTCTATTCGCTATATTTCCCCGTTTGGTTTTTGAAAATCGGTCGTCATTGAATATGAAGGATTGAAATTTGAAAAGTTTATTTAAACATTTATCAGAATAAATGATAAGGATAAATTCCTTCGACAAATTTGCTGTTTTTTCTTATTATTTCTAGATGTTTACGCATTTTTTCACTTGCCACAAGGTTGAACGATCAGGTGCGGTAATTGCTAGATAGCTGTTCTGTGACTTGTGCGTTGAAGTTCTTTTCAATATCGTTTAACTTTTTAACAATCTACACCATAATTGCTCACTTGCAGAAAAAGTGGAAATAATCGAACTTTATTTTAAAAATAATGAATGTATCGGGTTGCGCACACATTCAATGAACACCATCCTGACAAACACCTTTATGGCAAAATTGTCCGCGAGTTAGTAGCAAAATAGAATACAAAGAGGCAGAGCGAAAATCTTGTAGTAAATGAAGCTATGGAGGTATTCGTATTGGGCCAAGTTGCCATGGATAGTACGCTGAGTACAAGAAAATTAGCCAATGAGACCAGCGTGAATCGTACAAGTGTCCAAAAGATATTAGAAAAACACAAGTTCCACCCGTACAAAATTTCTGAAACTATGAGTGAACGAGTGGCGAATGATAATAATTTCCTATTTAATCTGTGTTTTTCGGATGAGTGTACCTTCTTTTTGAACGGTGTAGTTAATCGGCACAACTGTCGGTACTGGGCTGAGGACAACCCCAGGGTTTTTCACGAGGTGCACACACAAAACTCCCAGAAATTGAACGTGTGGGCTGGTATTTTTGGAAATTCTATTGTGGGTCAGTTTAACGATATTGAGAAGAACTTCAACGCACAAGTCACAGAACAGCTATCTAGCAACTACCGCACCGGATCGTTCAACCTTGTGGCAAGTGAAAAAATGCTTAAACATCTAGAAATAATAAGAAAAAACAGCAAATTGGTCGTAGGAATTTATCCTTATCATTTACTCTGATAAATGTTTAAATAAACTTTTCAAATTTCAATCCTTCATATTTTCTCAATGACTCGACCGATTTTCAAAAACGAAGCGGGAAAATATAGAGAATAGAAAGCTCTTTCCATTGTGGTGCCACTTGACCTCCCTTCCCATTTGAAAAAAGTTAGGGGATTACACCCCCGCTTAGAGGGTTAAAGATTTTGCAATCATTTTTGGGGCAAAAGTTGTCCCCCTCACAAACAAAATTGACGTGTTTTTGGATTTTTTGAAAAAAAAATACCCTGGCCGTTATGCCTTGCGGAACGATTTCGATGGGCCACCCTGTATATGAAATGATACCAAATACCTATTCTATTAATACCTAATGAAATTATTTAGGGGTGTCTAATTCTCTTTTATAAAATCATACCTATATAGTCTACCCTATGTTTTATCAAGAAAAATACTGCGAGCTACAAACCTACTGTAATATTATTACCTAAACATTTTAAAATATTTGAATATCAAGATTACATGTATCAAATAATAAAATAATTTCAAAAATAAAATTCTAATTAATAATAATAATCATTTATCTAATTAAATTAAAACTGAGTGCTATAGAAAGGAACTAAATATATAGAAAATACAGTAGTAGCAATAATTTAAAAAGTTTAAGTTAAAATTAACTATTTTTTATTAATTCTTCTAACCTTTATAGTTCATCCGATGAAAGAATAGGCTAACAATAAAAGATGAAGAGTGTTCTTAAAATAAAAAAATAAAATTGTTTTAGTGACAATTTAGTGAGAAAAGATCACATATAAATATTGTAAGTTAGTGAGACACCATATGAGAGAAAACAAAGCAGAAAAATGATACTTACCTACTAATGGCTGGTGCGTTTTGTGTAATCTGAGATCTGGAATGCTCCTTTTCAGTTGCGATAACATGCCTAAACACATAAAAACGCAAAAACCTTTTTTTAACATCACAAACATCTAAGATAAAAAATACATATTGAAATTCAAATAAAAAAAAATATTTTTATATATTCAGGCAGGCTTTGAAATCTTATAGTCTTGATATTACTGACAAAAACTTTGCTACACCTAGGTAAAAAATTGGCAAAAAATTCAAATATCGTTTACTTCAAAATCAAACCTAAAACACTATCCGTGATTTGTTGACAGTTAGATAAAAGTAGCAATTCACAGCTGTTAATAAATTAAAAATAATCTGTGAATGGTTAAGACGTGAATGACAGAACGATCAGCTACGAAACTATTCATTTAGAAGTGCGAGTGCGAAAGCTGCTAATTTACCGTCTTGCGATTTTTAACTGTTCCTCTATCTAATTATTTACGAAAAGGTTTATATGGTAATCGCAAAACAATTTCCGATGCTCGCCATCAACTTTGAGTGACAAGCGATGGCGACAGCGCTGCCAGATTGTGATGGATTTATGAGTTGAATCTTAATTTAAAATTGACAAGCAACATATGTATGATATTATTTTTTAAAGTGTTTTACGTTTTATCTTTAATTTAATAACTAATATTAATTTTAGTGATTAATTGATTTATTTGTTTTATAGCTTATTTTACTTATTACATATTGGCAAAAACTAGTCCATTATGAAGATTATTATAAGCGTTATTATCGGTTATTTATTTATTGATGTACATCTTTCAACGCCATAAGTGGTAATAACAAATAAGAGGGTTCTAGTAATGCACAAACTAATAATCACAGAATTTAATAAAAATTAACTTTGAAAGTGGTATAATGTGCTTATCCATCAAACTTACTTTTCTGAATGCAGTCAAGGGTAATAAAGGACCTTTATTGTCACGTTCTCGTTCAAAATAGTTAAAAAAAAACAGGGAAGCTACAAGCTCTTTGCTTCGACTGTTTAAATGCTTCGGCATATTTTCTACACACAATTTCAAGAAATGCAATACCAAAACTCGAAAATTTAGTTCTTATGAAAATAGGTAAAAAACGAGAATTACTCACAAAGATTCAACAACAACACGATATTATTCAAAATAATGACTGACACTAGGATAACTGTCAAATAATAAAGGACAACATTGCTGAACACGGCGCAATGTGACCAACATAGCGATAATAAAATTCGGGTTAAATTAATTTTTGCAGCTTTATTCTAAATAAAATATCTGTTACAATCATTTTCTCTATAAAGTAAAATGAAGAGCTGCCCGGTATTTTAAATTATACAACAAATTTAAACATTTTTGCCAAAATTTCATTTAGTCAGGTTAATAGAGTTTACTGTTAATGTCGATATGATTGATGACGTGCATCGGAAAATGTTTTGCAATTACAATACTTTGTTTTATTCACTATAATCAAAGTGTATTATAAGCTTGGTTCATTTCAACAGATTTTTAAAATTCCGACAGCAGCGCTTGGTACGGTAGAAATCAGTACTGTCCGGCTAACTTTATTTCACGCCGTCTCGGTTCATGTTGGTTCAATTCGATTAATATATAAATCGTAGCTATGTTATAATATTTAAGTATCGTGGTTATTACTAGTATATAGTTATTGAAACTATAAAATTCTCAGGTACGAAGGTTTTTGTGATGTAAATTGAAACACTGTTTCGGATACAAAAATTAAATGAAAAAGAACGTGAACTGGGCGACGAGTTGTGTCGTGACGATTTCAAAAGATAATAAAATTGCAGAAAAAATGGCTACACGAAAAGAAGGGCGTAATGGCGTGGTTGTTGGGTTTAACAATACTCAATATAACTTTCCTGGAACGACGCGCGACGTTTTACAGCTGTGATTTCAGGGACCAAAAAAACATTAAATAAATTTGACAATATAGTTGTCACATTTTTAAAATTTTTCTCTAGGACGCAGACGGTAAGGAAATTTGGAAAAGTATAAACGGAATTAATCTTTTAGAATAAGCAAAAACTCATATAGGGTGAGCCTTAAATAAGTGCAAATATTTTCAGGGCTCGTAGATCTTGATAAAAGGAACATATTTTCTCTTTTCCGTTTTAAGTCCAAAATAACCGAGTTATAATTTTGAGAACCACTGGAACATTTCTGGGTTTTTCTTTCTTGTAAATTTAATCTACTATCTATGTTGCCATATTATCAAGGAATTATGTTTTTTAACTACAAACTAAAAAAAATCCATTTTTTTTTAAATTCCAAATTTTAAACCTCAAAATCGTGTTTCTGGGGTCGAAATATACTACCCCTAAAAATATTTGCACTTAATTAAGACGCACCCTGTATAAAGAATGTATCTTTCTGAAGAAAGTTTTCCTCTTGTAAAAACAATCCGTGGACATACCGTATTTATTTTGAACTATTATTTTAATTTGAACTATATTATAATTTCATAACAATGGGTGAATGGCTAACACTAGTGGTAGATTATTAATATTTAATTCAAAATGATATTTCAAGTTAATTTCATTTAATTTAACTATTATTACACACTAACATTGATAAAGATTATGAAACGGTATTTAGAGTAGTAAATTAAAAATGCTATGGTTAAATGTATGAGCCTCACAAACGTATTTTTTAATAAAACGATTTTATTTTATAAAATAAAACATGCACTGCAAAATGCTTAGGAAAACTGGATAAAAAGCTCAATGGTTGTTACATTCTTCATTCGACTAATTGCTAACTCGGTAACAGTAAAAAATGCCTTTTAAAAGCAGGACAAAATGAAGCATACTCTACGATTAAAAATTATAATGAATTAAAATCGTTTTATTGCTCTGAAAATAAAACTGTAAAGAATTTCAAAGCTGCTTAAAATGTATAGATTATTTTATTATAGCCCGGGAGCCTGCCATAGGTTTATAAATTATGATATTTTATTATCTGGTTATAATAGTCTAAGAGCTAGCAAAGTTTTCGATAAATTATTTTAAGAAAGCTGGGGTGGAACTCTGTAACGAAATAGCTATCGGTAGCGATGAAGAATACTCTCGCTTGCCATTTAGTTTGTACGGCCAAGGTCAGTATTCTTTATCGCTACCGATCGCTATTTAGTTACGGAGTTTCAGCCTGGCTCTTTAATATATCTTTTGCTCTGCTTTCTGGAACAGCGTGCGAGTTATCTGGTTACCGTTAGACGTTGCGTTCACTACTGCGCATTGAAAGAAGATCCTATATTTTTTTTATTTAGTCCGTTAAATTCTAATATTGAATATAAATCGAACAAGTGTCCATATCGCGGCGCGAAAGCGTTCCGCCTATAACGCGAGAAGTCCCGAGTTCAATACCGGCTCGGGGTAAACTTTTTTTTATTATAGTTTCGTTTATATTCTGTCGTAAAGCATTAAATAATTATTTTTTTTAATCACCAGAATTATTTAATACTTTACTATCAGAATATAAACGAAAATTAAATAAAAAAAAGTTTACCCCGAGCTGGTATTGAACTTGGGACTTCTCGCGTTATAGGCAGAACGTTTTCACGCCGCGTTATGGAGACTCTTTCGATTTATATTATTTATATTATTAAATACTCGAATTTAAACAACTAAATAAAAATATAGGAACTTCTTGCAATGCGCAGTAGTGAACGCAACGTCTATCGGCAGCCAGACGACTCGCATGCTGTTCCAGAGAGCATAGCAAAAGATATATTAAGGAGCCAGCTTTCTTAAAATACTTGTTTTCCAAACGTTGCTAGCTCTGGTACTATAGCATTGCATTCAACGGAAGAGAGATGAACTATCAGCTCAAAAACTTCTACTTACAACAAACAAATTATTTATATTTTATATTGAGCAAACATCTCTCTTGAGAAAACATATTGAGTTTTCAACAAAAATCGATGATGATAAATTTCTGCAGATTGCGTTAGATCTTTCGGTAACAAACGTTGAGTTTATCTTGATATTTTGATAATTTTCAAAGTTAACTATTAAGTAATTAGTCGATAGTTTATTCCCTTACCATAAAATGTTGACTGTTAAAGCATATGCTACTACAAGCTCTCGAGTTATTAGCATCCATAGGAAAATTATGCTTTCTTATGATTTCATAAATTTATTAGAAAATTTAAAAGTTTTTTTAAAAATTTTAATTTAAAACTGAAATACGCAACATCTTCATATTCGAGACTAAAATAACTTTGACTTATTGTTTCTTATAGATGCTTACTATAATATAATCATATAGTTTTTTTTTCTTTCTTGGGTTCCGCAAAATGAGTTTGACTCATTTGTACAGACTAGTGCGAACAAGACGACTACAAGTTTTAGAATAACGTGCCTGAAAAAGTCCACTATGCTGGAGCGAAACGTCGCATAAAAAATGTTTTCCATACCCAAGAAAGAAAAAAAAACTATATGGAAATAAACTAATTGTTAAAGAAAAAGAAACGATTAAACTATATTATAATGTATTAATTGTATTTTTTCTTATTTATAAAATACTTTTAAAAATCTTAGAAATAAAGTTACCTTTGGTTATCACACGAAGAATGTATAAGAAGCTCGAAAACAGATGTAAAACAATACCACAACCAATTTTGTACTTACCTGTTATTGAATTTAGTGTAGAAGATCGCCGTTTTTCTTCACCAAAGTTTAAATTTAAAGGTGTCACGTCTTGACCAGCTTTATCCGTGGTAAATTCCAAGATTCCATGACCTAATACCAGAAAAAGAAAATGTATTCCAATTCAAATATGTTTTTTTGTAAGGTAATATTTATAAGGTATATAAACAGCCAAATCAATCGGCTTGTGATATTTTAGTAATTAAATTCCATAAAAAAATGCACAATAGATTAAACTCTGATACACAATGTTTTGCAATAAAATATGAAAAAAAATCTACGTTTAATCTGTAATTTGCCTTATTCAAAAAAAAACATCGACAAACAAATATATGTACTATTTTTATTTTTGTTTATACACACAATGAATTTTATAACAATTGTTTAAAAGTATGTTTTTATAACAAACTTTCATAAACAATAAATACGACTAAAATGTGTTGCGTTGTAGTTTGTCTGTTTTATTTTGTTTGTAACTGATATATAGTGTATATTATGTATTTTGCTGTATTTGCTATATATATTGCTGTATTTTGTTGTATTCTAAAAAAGGTTAGGGAAGAACTTACTAGTCCACCATCACCACTCTTTATAAAACATAGAAAAATTCTGTAAAACAGATGTAAATAAAGATAGAATAAAAAATATAATACAGCGAAATAGAAAACATAATGCAACAAAGCACAAAGTATATCAGTTATAGAGAAACTTCAGTAAAATCGTTTTCCCCTTTGCTTGAAGTTTTTTACATTTGAATTTTTTGTATACTTTGTTCTACGACCGGGAATATTTCGACAGATAGACGAAGACAGATGACAGAAGAGATTCGACAGATAACAGAAGAACGTCAGATGATGCCCATAATATACCACTAAAACAAGTTTCTAATATTTTTTAAGTTAACTATGGGTGGGTTTAATGGATATGGTGGTGTTTTATTTATACCTGTGTAATATTATAAATTTTAAATTTAATTTCCTGCTTTACATTCCAGTTATTGTAGTAACTTAGTTCTTGGTAAAATAAAATAAACTACTTTGAAATTCAAATGACAAACACATCTATCACTGTCAATGATTTTGTCGTTAGACTATAGTAAGCATAATATACCGTTTGGTAAAACAATAGTGCCAAAGATAGCTTGGCAATGACAAGCATTGACATTTTATATGTAAAAATACATGGTAAATGTCATCGATCGCTATTTCCATGCCAACTTTTTATAAATAAATGCTCAATGTAACCAGAGATGTAACAAATATATTTGTTTCATTTGACATTTATTTGTTAAGTACTCTATATCACCTGATTCCGATTCGTCGCTGTATTGGCTTTCCTGTCGACCATTTACCGAATTTCCTCTCGAACTTAATCCGTTAGACCTAGAAGGCACTCCTCTAAAATATCTACTTTCCTTGCCTTTCGGATAAAAAGATCTTCTTGGAACAACTCCAGCTTGCTCCTCCTTAAATAAGACAATAAATTATTAACATCATTATTAAAATCATTGTTCTCTTTGTAACTACATTTTTTATTCTTATTAAACTAATTTTACACACTTTGATTTGTATTTATTACATGACAAAGTCATACTTTATGAGTATATTACAATATCTAAAGATTTTTACCTGAATGTTTTTATATGTATACTATATATACCGGGTGCGTCTCAAAAGTGGCCACCCCTATAGCTTTTTTTATTTTTCAGATAAAAAAACCACATTTGATATGTTAGTATATGATATAAATTAGGATTGATTGACGTATTCCATTGTTTTCGGTCACTTCCTTTTTCACCGGAAAGGACTACAACTTTTGATTTTTAAATGGCACCCTCGGTATTTTTTTACTTTATTCGATAGAAAAATACACTCTGACTAGAATGACGTATCATATGTCAACTTGTGACATTTTCGCATATGGTTTATTTGAAAATGCGGTTCATAACGACAATTTCACTCGAAGTACCAAGTGTGTGGTATCAAATTATTCGTAAAAAAATTCTTTTTCCAAATATATACACTCTGACTAGAATGACGTATCATATGTCAACTTGTGACATTTTCGCATATGGTTTATTTGAAAATGCGGTTCATAACGACAATTTCACTCGAAGTACCAAGTGTGTGGTATCAAATTATTCGTAAAAAAATTCTTTTTCCAAATATGCTAATAAGCCATCCTCGTTCCATTTGAAAAAATTGAGATATGATTAAAAAACGGTTTGGGCATCTTTTAACCGGCCAGGATAAGAGACGAAAAACATTAGATGATCAAATCTATTTTTCCAGGCTCCTTGATTAAAAATCGGTGTTTTTAACATAGTCAGGGCACTTTAGATTGAAATTTAAAATACAATTTTTTAAGCGAGAATGTCAAATGTTGACATGTGATATGTTATTTTATTCAGTCAGTCAGAGCGTCATTTTCTATCGAATAAAGTAAAAAAAATACCGAAGGTGCCCTTTAAAAATCAAAAGTTATAGTAATTTCCGGTGACACAGGAAGTGACCTAAAACAATTGAATACGTCAGTCAATCCTAATTTATGTCATATACATACTAACACACCAAATCTCGTTTTTTTATCTGATAAAATAAAAAAGTTATAGGGGGTGAACCACTTTTGAGATGCACCCGGTATAAAAACCTTTATATAGCTTGTTTAGAGGTCGACATTTGTTCGTTGTTAAATTGATATTTTTTTTACAAACTCGTAAACACTGATTAGGATAGAGGACTCTTTCTTTGGGAAAAACTGAATATTTTTTTGTTGGACTGAAACCCCACCGCTGTCACCAAATTTATGTAACAATAGCCTTGACTTTAATTGTTATAACATAAAATATATTTAATTATGTTAGATCGCATCTGTATACAATTTTTGTTGAGGTTGTCTTTGATTTTGATAATTAGAGTTAGTTTTCATTAAAGATAATTTGAATATTTTGTAGCTAATGGTGGTTACTTACATCTCGGAGATTAAATGTAATTTCCAGGTTGGTTAAAAAATGGTTGTAAAATTCTGGGTAGAGCTCTAAAACATCTAAAAGGTCATCTCTGTGGATTTTGTGTAAGTCGCAGTAAGTCAATGCTCTCACGTTGCAGGCACTCTTTCCTAAAACATAATTTTAAAAATTATAGTACATGTTCATTAATTATTAATGATGTGGTTGTAAATAAAATAGTATACAAACCTCGGAGGAAAGTTTTCATTATTGTCTCGATATTTAGTTAATCTCTCGACAGTGAAACACTTGCCTCCTCGGTATGTAATATACTATTACAATACCAAACTTGAAGATTTACACGAAACAATTTTGTGTTTGGTTTGGTTAGAACTGTATTTACCCACAATGATAACTGTATTGAAACCAAAACAAATGGATTTCCATTGTCTTTATTTTTGTTTGGCAGAAGTATCACTGATCGTTATAAAGTGTGAACTAATCTAAATCCTAAAACTACTGAGCTTCACCCATGAAGAAGTTGGGTGTAATAAAGAATGAGGTTCTTTACTAAGAATACACGCATTGGTGCGTTTTATGAGTGGTTGTCATATTGTTGAAATTTTCATACTTGATTGCTAGAGATTTATTATTAGACATGAATACGATACGATTTTAAATTTGCGCTTTTCTCACTGGGGTTCCGTGTGGACAACCCGGGCTTTCGACCATTTTATGTTGTGATGCTTGGACCCGACTTCATTGTTTCTATAATGAAGTCCGGCATGAAATGATAACATGATAATAGAAATAGATAATAGAATTAAGGGATTGAGTATCAAAACTCGTCATATCCATTTTTGGTAATTTTGAGTAAACATTTCTATATTCTAGTATTGCCGCCCAGCACAATATTCAGTATAATTTTTGTATTTGTATATATGTACCTAAAGTGCTCTCGAATAGTTGAATTTAGATATTTTAAATAGTTTTTTTCTTTGTTCTTTGTATTTTTTTGCTTCCGACGACGGAAAGAAATATACTTTCCGAAACGTTAAGCATTTTTTTCTTCGTTAGGTAAATTTGTTTATTAGTAAATCACTGCTGACAATTAGTCTCCGTTCTAACCCAGCATTGTTTACAAAAAATAACTATTTTATTTTGTAGATTTTCTTACAGTGGCGAAATACCCATAGGACTTTTGGAGAGATGTATTTTTCTGTTAATCTACAAGTGAAAGTCATGCATTTGTTCTAACACTAATCTTATCCACGAGTATATTGGTAGCAAAACTTGTCATATCAAAAAGTAGATGACTCTAGAACGAAATTTTTATTTAAAAAGAAAATTCTCTACGTGGTTGCTTTCAAACGAAATTATAAAGTCAGCTTTGAGGTCTACTTCAAAATTGCGTTTCCAGTCTCAAGCTATTCATTCATTCAGTCTTTGGTCAATTTTCAACTTCAATTTAGAACTTTCTTTTTAGATTCAACTTTTATAGAAATTGTCCGGTTGTCATTTATAACATTATTATAGGCTTGACTCATTCTGTGTTGGTGTTGCGCCCCGGAGAATCTCGTAGAGGTGGGAATTCTAGTTCCTTGGGGGGAACTAGTTCCTTAGTTCTACTTCGTCCTCCAGAGGAATAGTTCATTGAAATAGGTCTTTAGTTCACATTAGTTCCCGACTAATAATGACATCCCCGTTGCTTACTCATGGGCTTTGTTACAAATCAGAACTATTTATAGTATGATCTGTAAAATTTTTATAATGCACGAAATATTACGATCTACGCGATTATAATAATGGGGTAGTAATTACCAATAACTACAGTCAAATTTCTATGTTTAATGTTTATATATACCGGGTGCGTCTCAAAAGTGGCTCACCCCTATAACTTTTTAATTTTTTTTCAGATAAAAAAAACTACATTTGGTATGTTAGTATATGACTGAATTAGAATTGATTGACGTATTCAATTGTTTCTGGTCACTTCCTGTTTCACTAGAAATGACTACAACTTTTGATTTTTAAATGGCACCCTCGGTATTTTTTTTACTTTATTCGCTAGAAAATGACATTCTGAATAGAAAGACATGTGATATGTCAATTTTTTGACATTCTCGCTTAATAAAAAATCGTATTTCAAAATTCAATCTAGATTGCCAGGGCTATGTTAAAAACACTAATTCTTAATCAAGGAGCCTTGGAAAAATAAATTTGACCGTCTAATGTTTTTAATGTCTTAGCCTAGTTAGAAAATGCTCAAATCGAATTTTTAATAATATCTCAATTTTTTCAAATGGAACGAGGGTGGCTCATTAGCATATTTGGAAAAAGTATTTTTTTATATTTCGAGTCAAATTTTCGTTACGAACCGCAAGTTATAATTCCAAATAAACCATATGCAAAAATGTCAAAAGTTGACATATGATATGTCATTCTATTCAGAGTGTCATTTTCTATCAAATAAAGTAAAAAAATACAGAGGGTGCCATTTAAAAATCAAAAGTTGTAGTCATTTCCGATGAAACAGGAAGTGACCAAAAACCACTCTATACCAAATCTCGTTTTTTTAACTGAAACAAATAAAAAAGTTAGGGGTGAGCCAGTTTTGAGGCGCACCCGGTATATTTATGCTGTATTTTTGTATCGCTTTAGATATTAGCTTACTACTACTCAATTGAAGAACTCATTTTCTATTACTTTAAACGAACATTCCGTGTTAGTTATAGGGAGCAAATTGTCATATATTTTTAGAGCAGATATTTCGGTGTAGTATAATAAAAATATGCAAATTCCTACAATAATACAAGACACATATATCAGAAAGACATTTTCTACCGAAGCCAAATTTAATTTACTCGACTAAAGGAAAATCCCAATGGGAAAAACTTAACGAAGTTAGCTTAGTAGGTTGTAGGAGTTGAAATGATAAATGTGTGTAGGAAGATAAGTTGAGTAAGACGCTCGGGAAACTAGGAAAAATTATTATAGCGTCCTGCATATATGGCAAGGCTATAGAGGGTTAATCCAAGTGCTCTGTTCCGTTTTTCTCAAGATCTTTTTTCCAAAACATGATAATGGTAAAGTATATTTTAATAATATTTTCATACCGGGTGTTTTTCAAAAGCGACTCCCCTCTATAACTTTTTTTATTTTTTTAGATAAAATAACGAGATTTGGTTTATCAATATAGTCGCATAAAATAAATCAGGATTGATTGACGTATTCAATAATTAGTTTCGGTCACTTCCTGTTTCACCAGAAATGCCTACAACTTTTGATTTTAAAGTGGTATCCTCGGTATTGTTTTACTTTATTTGATAGAAAATTATATTCTGAATAGAATGACATATCGCATGTCAACTTTTGACATTTTCAAATTAAAAAAAAAAGAATTTTAATTTCAATCTAGAGTGCCAAAGCTATGTTAAAACGATTAATTTTTAATTAAGGAGCTTTGGAAAAATAAATTTGATCGTAATGTTTCTCGTATCTTTTCCTGGTCGGTTAAAAGATGCTCAACGACTTAAGGTTGATTCTCACTATACCTTCCGTTTCCATTCCCTACCCATTCCATATCTGTTCCGTATTTTTTTTATTGTATTGACGCTATACGTAAACTTCCGTTCCGTATCAGTTCCATACTTTTTGTTGTACAATTTATATTATTATGAAAATTTTATTTTAAAAATTTGTATCTTTTGAAAAAGGTACAAATTTTTACTTTTTTTTGTTTTAATTTTGACAACGCTGTTTCCGATACGCTTCAGTCCGTCCGCCAAAAAAATGTATGGAAGGAAAGGATATGGAACGGAAGGGCAACGGAACGGATAGTGTGCATTGTCCTATTTATTTACATGATATAATATTTTATGTAAACGGAAGGAAGCTGATATGGAAAGTTTAGTGAGAATCAACCTTTATTAATCGAAACTCATTTTTTTCAAATGGAACGAGGGTGGCTCATTAGCATATTTGGAAAAAGACATTTTTTTATGAATAATTTGGTATCATACTTCGTATTTCGAGACAAATTGTCCTTACTTTTATGGCGATGGCACTCGATTCACAATGTTATTTTCTATCAAATAAAGTAAAGAAATACCGCCGAGGGTACCACTTAAAAATTAAAACTTAGTAGTCATTTCCGGTGAAAAAAGAAGTGAACAAAACTAATTCAATCAATCCTCATTCATGTCATATACTAACATACCAAATTTCATTTTCTTATCTGAAAAAATAAAAAAGTTATAGGGGTTGAGCTACTTTTGAAAAAAACCCGGTATATACATATACATTAGACTATTTTGAAAAAAAAATCGACAATTTTTTCTTTTCTTTCTTATATAAGAAATGGTGAAAATGAGGAAAAAACATACTGTGAAAGGCTTTCAGCTCTTAATATTAATATAGGAAGTGACAAACACTAATTGAATACATCAATCAATCTCGGTTTATGTCATGTACTAACATATCAAATCGTCGGTAAAATATGTTAAACTGCTTACTCCATTTTCGAGAAGAGCAGTAAAAACGTTACAAAAATATGTACACATGTAGCTATTATATTCTTGCGTTAATATCTTAGATTAAGAATAAAAAGTTAATATGATAAAAAGATAACAATAATATTTGCTGGGGAACAATAAAACTCAATATTTCTTAAAAATTTAACGTAAAAATTATATATTAAACCTATTAATAATTAATTAACGTCAAAAATGGACTTAGCAGATTAACATTCACTGACGAATTCTCGTTTTTTTATCGGAAAAACACCCGCTATATTTACAGGGTGAGTCAACGATAGTTCATTATTTTATTAGAATTTGGAAAAAAAATGTTAAATAGAAAAAGTTTCGGGAATGTTGAGTGATAGTAAACGCCACGAATGTTTGGAAGTGATTTATCGGTCGCTACCATATGAACTAATCTGTTCAAGGTCACATAAAACTTAATTCCAGTGCCGTGGTGTTTCAAGTCATTATAATAATCAATATACATATAATCTGTTGTAATTTGTTGTTTTAACTGTCAAAGTCTTGTCAAAACATATATTTGGTTATAAATATAAAATGGAATGCCCTATTGGTCGCACTGCAAGCTCACCAATGGACTGACGCACAAAAACGAATCAAAGAAACGCGCGATACAGTATCATCTTTGTCAATCACGCTAACATTTTAGAATAAGTAGGAGGAGCGCAGGCAGACGATTAGGCCGGGCCTTTAAAAACCTACGTCTGCGGTAAAAATTTACGTTTTTAATGTAAAAATAATAGCGCGCGCGTCGATTCTAACTTCATCAAGCGATGAATCACTCCCAAACATTCGTGGCGTTTACTATAACTATTTTTGAATAACGTCGATAATATTGTGATTCTGGTTCATCCTGTAGATAGATCCATAACTTTATAAAATATACCTTTTATTTTTTCACTTTAAAAATTTTTGCTCATTTATTGATTTATACGATTTATACCGGGTGCGTCTCAAAAGTGGCTCACCCCTATAACTTTTTTTATTTTTTCAGATAAAAAAATGAGATTTGGTATGTTAGTATTTTAGTATATGACATAAATTAGGATTGATTGACATATACAATTGTTTTCGGTCACTACCTGTTTCCCCGAAAATGACTACAACTTTTGATTTTTAAATGACACCCTCGATATTTTTTTTACTTTATTCGATAGAAAACTGATCACTCTGAATTGAATGACATATCATATGTAAACTTTTGACCTATTCGTTTAAAAACAAATTGTACTTTAAAGTTCAATCTAGAGTGCCATGGCTATGTTAAAAACACTAATTTTTAATCAAGGGCTCTTGGAAAAATGGATTTGACCGTTTAATGTTTTTAGTGTCTTGCCCTGGCCGGTTAAAAGATGCCCAAATCGTATTTTTAATCATATCTCCATTTTTTCAAAGGGAACGAAGGTGGCTCATTAGCATGTTTGGAAAAAGCATTTTTTTACGAATAATTTGATATCACACACTTGGCATTTCGAGTGAAATTATCGTTATGAACCGCATGTTTTAATTTCATAGAAACCATATGCGAAAATGTCAAAAGTTGACATATGATATGTCATTCTATTCAGTCATATCATTGTGAGTGTCATTTTCTATCGAATAAAGTAAAAAAATACCGAGGGTGCCATTTAAAAATCAAAAGTTGTAGTCAGTTCCGGTAAGACCGGAAGTGACCGAAAACAATTAAATACGTTAATCAATCCTAATTTATGTCATATACTATATACTAACATACCGAATCTCGTTGTTTTATCTGAAAAAAAAATAAAAAAATTATAGGGGTGATACACTTTTGAGACGCACCTGGTATACCAAAGGGCTATTATGAAAATATTCCTTAAAAAACTGTGATTAATACGTCGGTATGTATATCGGAGACTATACATTTTTGTACTAACAAAAGTTGAGTTAAATCGTCACATTCGTCATGATCTAGCAATATGCGGTAAAATTTTGTTCAGACGTAGTATACAGGGTGTCCCAGGCTGAGCATGCATTAGAAGTTTCTAGAGAACCACAATATCTAGATCGGAGATTTTTTGCACATCATTGTTTTACAACGAGATCTATCGATTAAAAATATTTCCAATATGGCAGCACTTCCGGATATACCAGAAGTTGACAGCAACTTTCTAATTTTAAATGGGGCCCCCATTTTTTATTATGTACTTAAATTCTCTGTAAAATTCAATGAATACGGATGTTAAACACTCTATATCTAACATTAACCGTTTTTGAGAAAAAAATTATTTAAAATTTTTAGACGAAAAAAACTACCTGCCAAGAAAATTTGTATAGCCTAAAAATCAAATTTAGTGATTACCACACCCACTGTGACATAAACAGAAGACATGTGGCTATCTATTTCAAAAATTAACTTGTTCAAGTGTCATATAATAATGGCGGTAGCTGTCATGGAATTGAGTGATTAAAAAATTATCATAAATCATTTTTTTCAAATGGAAATCCTGTTTTTTTTATTCCATTAATGAAACGGGTTTTCAATTTGTTACTTTTTAACTATACATGTTCCTATACCTAAAATAAATCGTTTTTAAGTTATCTATAATAATCTAAGGTTCAGACCTGTATTACTCAAATAATAAAATACTGTAATGTTAACGAATAAAATACTATTATGTTAACATACCTATAGTCGGATGCAAACAGGGATTTTCTCCAAAGATATCGTATTTCCCCAAAATAGCCATAACAATATCTTCTCTCAATATCTCAATTGAGCCTCTCGATATAAAGTATAACGACGTCAGCACATCACCTCGATGAACTAAAGTATCTCCAGGGGGCGCGTGAGTAGTTTTGAACTTTAGGGTAAGAGCTCTGAAAAAAAAATGAAAATGTAACGATTGTGTAGTGCGTTTTGAGAAACTTGAACATACAAAAGAAAAATGTTAATAAGTGCATTGGTTATCCCAGACACTTCAAATAAAATAGTTAAAATTTATAAGTATGTTGTTTCGTATTTAGCTATAAGAATCTTAAATTTTGCTCAAAAAATCAATGTCGAACCACTATCCATAGTTATTTTTTATACAAGATGATAAAATTATATTTTATTGTCGACCGAAAAGATTAATTCACGAGCGATGAAATCGCGAGTGAATTAATTTCGGGAGACGGCAATGCAATTTTATCGTCATGTATAAAACAATATTTTTTTCCATAGCGAGTTACGTTTTAAAAAATATTCAGAAATTATGATTTCCAAGCTGTACGCACACTGGTGCGATCACGGCCGCGATCACGATCTCCACGCGGCCGCGGCCAAAAGTTGCTGAAGAATACATATGAGCTGTAGTGATGGGTTGTTATTTAACTATCTGTTATTTTGTAACAATTATTTATAAATAACATAACGCAACCGTTACTACTTCTAAAAAATAACAGATATAAAATAACTACACGTAGAGATCGGCCGCTCGTGAAACGAAAAACGAAGTCGGCGCTCTGCATCACCACGAAATTCTATGCTGCTCGAAGCAATTCCAAAAAACAACTAGTATGGATGGAAAACATGTTATTTCGTCAACCATCGATACAGGCGGCGAGACAACGGACAACGGAGTGGGGAAAGCGCTACGGCGAACGTAGCTGCTTCGGTCGATACCGTCGATGGTCGTATTTACAACAGCTTAAAAATAATAGGATATAAAAGAAGCAGTTTTTTTGAAACAATTGCGGGCATAACGCCTGGCGGTGGAGATAACAGGAGTGGGAAAGGAACGCTGCTGCATCGGTCGATTGTCGATGGAGGCTCGCAACGGGTTGGAGAAGCAGTCATTTTAGATATGTTGTTTTTCAACCTGTTACGAGCATAACAGGGCGGCGGTCGAGATAATCGGTGTGGGAAAGGAACGCTGCTGCATCGGTCGATTGTCGATGGAGGTTCGAAACAGGTTGGGGAATAACGCATCAGTTGTTTTAGATACATTCTGTTTCAACCTGTTACGAGCATAACGGACGGAGGTCGAGATATTATGGCGCTGTATGTCTCAGTACTTACTTATTAAGTTTCAATATTTAGGTATTTATTTATTCTGAAAAATTTTCAGAATAATATTTTAAGATTTTTTAAAAATGTATACAGGGTGTTTTGAAAAATCTGGTCATTGATTAATCACGATCCTGCTTAAAGCCCTTGACGTAAAAAGCTGATTTTTGGAAAACGGATTGACTTTAGTGTGTAGAGGTTCGATAAGAAGGTATTTTTCGAAACTCGAATTCTAAGGGGGTGAAACTACTCTCAAATATTAGAATATTTTTGATTTAAAAACCGGTGAGTTTTTCGGAAAAACTCTTAAAACACGTATATTTTATTATGTTGTTTTACATATTTTAAGATTTTTAAAAATATATACAGGGTGTTTCATAAAATATGACCATTGAGTAATATTCTGCTTAAACTGCTGGACGTTTAAAGCTGATTTTTTGCAAACGGATTGACTGTGGGGTTGAGGTTTGATAAGGAGGGGTTTCTCGAATCTCAAATTCCAACAGGGTGAAAACGCCCCTCAAATATTACAATATTTGTTATTTAAAAAACGGTTAGTCTTTCGGGAAAACGCCTGGACACGCATAATTTATTTTGTTTTTTTACATATTTTGAAATTTTTTAAAAAATCATATAGGGTGTTCCAAAAAGTTGAATAATTGATTAACCACGATTCTGCTTAAACTGTCGACGTTAGAAAGCTTATTTTTGGCAAATGTGAGAAAATTTTATCCAGTTTGTATGTTAATGGAAATTCTTGTTTTGCTTTATCATCACCATTTGAAATTATTAATTCGACGCGAACAAAGTCGCGGGTACACGCTAGTTTAAGTGTAAAATTAATTCGAACTCTAGTGTGTAGTTGGTTTATTTATGAAGAATATACTACACATTTTCTTATATTGCTATTTTTTGACCGCAAATGGTAAAATCATAACTAAGAGCTTCTCGCCCGTCGAGTGATATGCACCCTGTACACTGCTACGCAATTCAGGATCTAAGCGGATCGAGGGGCAGGGCGTAGGTAGATCGCAATGTGTAGGTATAGACGAGTGGCGGAATTTTGGCTTTTTTTATATCGCAATTTGTAAACAGCGCTTATTTGTAAACAACGACCGTTTTTAGAGAGGTATTTTAGATAACAATCGATATTTAGAAATGTTTTGACACCCTGGAAATACTACCACCGAGCACGTCATTGTTGCAACTTGCAACTGCGTTAATACGCCTGGCGGTGACCGTCTCATACTCTTTCAGATATTTAGCAGTAAAATAAAGAAACCTGTTATTTTTAAGCTGTTATTTTAAGCTGTTTTTTTATAAATAACTATAACAGTTTCAACTGTTATCTAAAAATAACAGTTTTGCCCATCACTAATGAGCTGTTTCACATTGGCGCGATCGAGTTTTGGAGACGAAGCGGCCTGGCGGCGTTCTATTCTGCGGTGGCGATCAGATTCAACTTGTCGAGTTTGATCGCGTGATCGCGACCCAACTGATAGGAATTTTATATTATTTTGTGTGTTTTTCTTGTTGCAATTTAGGAATGGACTTAACAGAGCAGCTAATTAAGGCTGTAAAAATACACAAAATTCTATATGATTTATCCGATCCAAGTTACAAAAATAATATCATTAAAAATAAAAAGTTTGAGACAAAATTGGAGTGGCAATTGGATTGGATTGTACATATATATGTATACATTTTTATTGTTAAGTTTAAATATTGTAGGTAAATATTTAGAATGTTTTTTTTTTGGTATACATAATTCACATTTTTAATTTGTACCTATGTACAGGATGGCGCATTACATATAGGTACGGTGGTAAACTTTAACGCGTTGGTGTGTGCTAGAATGATCGCTCATGTTATCGCTGCCCTGATCGTGATCGTGATCGCGGCCGTGATCGCACCAGTGTGCGTGTAGCTTTACGAGTAGAAAAAATATTGTGCTGGGTTGGCGTTGGTTTCTATTTAATGTCCCTTTAGTTGTCAGTTTTGAGTCAATTGAATTGGAGCCAGAAATGGCTCAAAACGAAATAAGTAAATTACCAACAGATATTCAGGCTCAGGCGACAAACGCCATATCCAAACTACTTCCATTTAAAATCCCGAATAACTTATGAAAAGGAATACAAAAATTTTCAAAAATGGAAGCAATTAAAGAACGTGCAAGAAGAAATAAAGTTTTTAACCTATCCTCGCCGTTAAAGTATCATTTAATCTACCCTTGCGGTTAAAGTACTATTTTATCTACAATTTTTGATAGATATAAGTAAGGCAATTTTTTGCTATGAAAAAAAACATTATTTGTGATTTTTACTTTAAGTTTCAAAAAAATATTTCTTTTTTTTCTTTTTTTTCATTTGTTTTGACATCTTCTACACAATTTTTCAAGATAACTGTTTGAAAATAATGTTCAAATACGTATAAAATTGCTTTTAATGAATGTGTCCAAACATATAGACACATTCATTAAAAAGAACTCAAGAGAATAGTACGTGACAATTTCTGCTTTTGAAATTTAAAATTAAAATCAACAGTCTGCTGACGGCCATACTGTCCCAGACTCGTATTTTAACTGCGATTATTTTTTTCTTCAGTTTTTATGTCAATAGCAAACGTAAGCCGTGTCAAGAGGTAAACAAAAGTGTAAAAATAAAAATATACGGGGTGCTACAAATTCGATGTACGAGCATTGGTATCTCGGTAACCGTAATAGATACGAACACGGTTAAATTGGGGCAAAGTTGCGCTATGGGATGTTCACCCAGATGCCGTCAAAAATTTTTCAAAAATTTCAAGGATTGCTGAGTTTTTTGGAAAAAACTGATTTTTTTGAAAATCAATTTTATTTTTTCCTGTCGTTACTTTTTAGAAAATCAAAAAACTAGTTGCACATTAGCCACTTTATTAGGGCTATCGGATAGTATTTTTAGATTTTCAAATTATCTTATAATTTTTGAGATACAGAGGCGAACTTAATTTTTCTAAATACGGACCTGCATTTTTTATTTGAGATTTTGAAAGAACTCGGTCTCCTGAGTACAATGATATGCCACACTTAATATTTTTTTTGTTTAGACATTTGAACACAATTTATTTAAACAAATTTCAAGTCCGGCTCTGTTTTCTTTTAATATTTAATCTATTCATCGTTACAATATTGAGATAAGCTTTCAAACTTAACAATGACGTGGGGTAAAACATTGAATACAATAAAATAATTAATATAAATATAATATAATATAAACAATCAAATAATTGTCCCGGAAGATGCATTGGAAGTAGTATAGCAGTATAATGTCCAGCGAGGTTCCAGTGCTAGAATTAAGGAAAAAGACTGACATATCAAAATATCACACACTCGTCGCTTTTTTAAAACGCCAGAATGTAGGTTTTTAGCCAAAGAAGTCTAACATTTTTACCTTCAACAAATAAATGTATTAAAATCTTTAATTATTATTGTTAATCTTCTTGTTTATTTTTGTTGATGTTAGATAAGTATTTAATAAAGATATTAAAGAATATTTTGCTTAATTAAATGAGGCGAGAAATAAGAAAAACCGAGTGAGGGAAATGGGTGAGGGAAATGGGGATGAGGGGAGAAATGTAGATAATTTGACACTTTCAAATTTTTTAAAAGTTAGTAATGTCAGTATTCGCTGTAAAATAAACAGCCAATGCCCCTAGTATGTTTCCAATACCGACACACCACCCCGTATAATAAAGTCTGCCCTAATATTTTGAGTTAGTTAAAAAATGTCAAACATGTTCTCTTAGTTAAATAATAATTAAATTATTTCTAGATACATATTTATATTTAGCA